TCCAGCCCAACACCAGGTAAGCTACCAGAATCCTACAGTCTCCAACTACCAACATCAGAGTCCTCAGCACACACAGCCAGTGACCAGGCCCTAGACTCCCAACACAAAAAGCTTGGGTCAATGCCCTCTGCTCCCAGCAAGAGAGCTCAATCTCTTAAAAGGCCAGGAAATAAGCAAACACCATGAACAAAAAGAAATGTACCATAGATCAATATTATGAGAACAGTGACAATCAAGGCAGAAATTCTGAAGAGTACAACATTGTCAACAAACCCACATCTGGAACCTCAAAAGGAAATATGAACTGCTCTGAAGCCAAAATAAGCTTTCTTGGAAGAGCTCAAGAAGAATTTTAAAAGTCAAATAAGAGATGTAGAAGAAAAAATTGGAAGAGAAATTAGAGGCATGCAAGAGAGAGACAATAGCTTGGAAAAGGAAGGACAAAAATTAACTGTAGAAAACAAGTCCTTAAAAAATACAATTGGCCAACTGGAAAAAAAGTACACTAAAATAGTTCAGGTGGGAGGTGATGAGGGACCCCACTAAACTACTGGAGAGAAGGGGGCATATTCAAGAGATGTTACGAAGGTGAAATTGACAAGCCTTGGCAACAGATTGGATATGGAGGGGTAAGAGATATTGAGGAGTCAAGGATAACACCTACATTGCCAGCCTGAGGGACTAGGAGGATGGTATTGCCCTCCAAGTAATGGCAAAGATATGTGGTGAGTGGAGGCTTTCAGGGGAAAGATACTGAGTTTGGTTTTGCAAATATTGAATGTAAGACATCTATTGGAAATCTAGTTTGAGATTTCTGAAAGGCAGTTAGAGATGAGTGATTAGAGTTCCACAGAGAGATTAAGGCAGGATAGATAGTTTTGAGAATCATTAGCATAGATATGATAATTAAATCCATGGGAATGGATGGGATCACCAAGTAAAACAGCATATTGTCTACAATTATTTTAAATGGAATTTATCTTTCTACCTTCCTTATAAATTTTGTTGGTAATACATACAAATGCTGATGATTTATGTATGTTTTTTTATATCCTGCAACTTTGGTAAAGTTGTTAATTGTTTCAACTAGTTTTTTTTAATTGATTCTCTAGGGTATACCATTATATCACCTGCAAAGACTGATAGTTTTTATTTTATGTTGTCTGTTGCTACACCTTCAATTTCTTTTTATTTTTTAATTGCTATAGGTAGCATTTCCAGCATAATATTGATTAGTAGGAGTGATTGTGGACATTTTTGCTTCACCCCTGATTTTATAAGAAGGGAAAGCTTCTAACTTATCTGTCTTACACACAATGCTTTCTCTTGCTTTCAGGTAGATACTCATCGTTTTAGGAAAACGTCCATTCATTCTTGCGCTTTCTAGTAGTTTTAATAGGAGTTGAATTTTGTCAAAAGATTTTTTCTGCATCTATTTAAATATTTATGATTTTGTTGTATCTGTTATTGATATGGTAAATTATGCTTATCATTTTCCTAATATTGAACCAGCCCTATATTACTGGTATAAATCCTATGTGGTCATAGTGTGTGATCTTTGCAATAAATTGCTATAATCTCTTTGTTTGTATTTTATTTAACAATTTTGCATCAATACTCATTAGGGAATTTGGTCTATACTTTTCTTTCTCTATTTTTTGTTCTCCCTCATTTAGGTATCAGAACCATTTGTTTGGTAACACTACTTTGCCTATTTTTTCCGAAATAGTTTCTATGGTATTGTATTTATCATTTTTTAAATTTTTTTGTAAAATTTAATTTTATGGCCATCTGGTCCTGGGGATTTTTTCTTAGGGAACTCATTTATGGTTTATTAAATTTCTTTTTTCTGAGATAGGATTAATTAAGTATTCTATTTCCTCTTCTGTTAAACTGGCAAATTATATTTTTGTAAATATTGATCCAGGACATTTAGGTTGTCAGTTTATTGGCACATAATGAAGCAAAAGAGTTCCCAATAAAACCTTCACTTTCACCTTCATTGATAGTTCATTCACCTTTTTTTTATTTTTGATACTTATAATTTTTTTATTTCTTTTTTAAATCAAATTAGCCAGTGGGCTATCTATTTTATTAGTTTTTTTCCCCTCCTAAAATCAATGACAGAAGGCATATGAGTAATATGAAATGAGGAAGAGGGGAGAAGAGAGAGCTCATTGACAATGCCCTCAGTTTTTTTCTGTAAAATATGAGTCAAGGTTCTCAAATGAAAGTGTTGGGGAAGTGGGAGCTATGGGTGATTTGAGGAAGGATTAAAATGTTTGGAAAAGCCTCTGTAGAGAGTGGAAAAGTGATGTTTATGAGGCAGGTATAGAATGACTGCCTAGCAAAAGTGAGTTCCCAGTTGATGCTGTGTAATATAAATTTGCAGAGGACCCAGTTAGAATCGTTGTATGATATTCTCTACCTTCATTCAGCAGCATGTGTATAAGAGTGAAAGCAGTGAATGGTGGGAGTAATCCAGGATTTAGGCTTGGCAGGGTGTGATCAGCAAAACAATAAGGGATTCAAGAGAGGAGGACAATGCAGATCTGAACTGATTTACCAAGGGGTCAAAATGAGGAAAAGAGGAAAGAGTGACTCATGCAGGAGAGGTAGCCTGAAAGGGAATGGACAGTTCAAGGGTTCTGAGCTCATGATGTAGATGAAGAGTAGGATTTTGTATAGGAAGTCCGAGGAGAAGTGAAAAAAAAGAGATTATGGTTCGATTAAAAAGACTTCAAATTTCTTGAATGTCTAGCTACTGCATTTGTGGGTAATGTCAAGATGAAGAGTATGACATAATTTGTGTTATGGCTGAGGTAGGGTGGAAGAGGAGAGAATGGGAAGTGAGTGTTGAAGAACTGGGAGATACACACACACACATATACACACATATACACATGCAAATACATATATACATACGTATACATATGCATACATATGTATATGCATGTATGTGTGTATGTGTGTGTGTATATATATATATATATATATATAGCGAGAGAGAGAGAGAGAGAGAGAGAGAGAGAGAGAGAGTAAGAGAGTATATGAGGAGGAGATGATGTGCATGTTGATGCCCCCTGGTATGAGGGCAGGAGTTGGGGAAAAGAGAGCATTTGTGATCAATGTACTGAACTTATTTAAGAAGGAAGAAGAGTTACTTGAAGGTTGAGGTTGGTAAACAACTACCAGGGTTTTGATTGGGTAGTAGATATGAATAGCATGAACCTAAAAGGAGGAAGGGTTACTGAGTAATGAAGTCAGGGAGAAAATCTGGAGGTAGCAATGGGGAACAAGGAGTATTCCAGCTTCCCTACCTCAACCAATGAAGTAAGGGGAATGAATGAAAGGGCAACCAGTACTGGAAAGAGAGGCCAAGAAGTCTGTACCATTGCAGGGGTTGCAGGTAGCAGTAACAACTAGTAGATGGAAGGAGTGGGAAAGGAAAATATTTAAGATAAAAGAACATCTTTTGCCTGTGGAATAGTCATTCTGCAGGGCACAGCGGAAAGGGCGTTGTTGTTGTTGCTGAAGCTGCTGGTGGAACTTCGGGACAGGAGGGTTGAGAGGGACAGGAATAGGTAATTAAGGGATGGAAAACAGGAAATGGGGTTTGAATGATGACCAGAATCATTGGGGTATGTAGGGTATGACCAATAGATATTTAAAGGATTTGAGCAAGCAGTTCTCAAGGGAAAAAAAAATCCAAGCTAAAAATACCACATGAAAAATTCAAACTTCTAATACTGACAGAAATGTAAATTAAATCATCTCTGAGGTTGAACATCATGCCAGCAAATTGGTAAAGCTGAACCAAAAAGAAAGGAAAATGACAAATGTTGAAGGGACTATTTGAAACTAGTCATATTAATGTACTGCTAGAAGAGCCAGGAATTAGTCCATTCATTCTGAAAAGCAATTTCTAAGTGCCCAAATGTTACTAAACTGTGCAGAATGCTTTAGACCATGTGTACCACTACTGGGTTTATTCCACCAAAAACTCAAAGAAAAAAGACTCGTATGTACAAAGATACCAGTTCTTGCTATTGTGACCAAAAAAACCAAAACCAAACAAAACACAACAACAACAAAAAACTGCAAGCTTAAAGGAATATACATCAATTGGGGAAGTGCTAAACAAATCATATGAGTACAATGGAAAACTACTGTGCTATGAAATGACAAAAAGGATGATTTCAGCGAAACCTGGGAAGATTCATAAGAACAGATTTATAGTGAAGTGAGCAGAACAATAACATATTTATACAAAAAATATAAACTTCCCTTAAGTCTCAGCTGAAGTCCCTCTTTCTGCAAGAAAACTTTCCTAGTCTTCTTTAATCTTAGCTCCTTTATTATGAGATTATTTCCAATTTATCCTGTCTATAGAAATCTTGGCATGAAATCCCATGAGCCGTGTCATCCTAACAATATTTATACCTCAAACTGTCAGAAAAAAAAACAACAAATTGACAGAAAATGGAATAGGTTTACCAACATTCCTATAACAATCGATCTTGATCATAAAAAAGAAGAATCAGAACATCTCAGTCCCCACGTGCTAAGTAAGATGAAGTAGAAATGACCCTTCAGACAAAGTTGAGAAATGCAGATTGATAAGATGAAGTACAAACCAAGGAAATATAATTCTGAGAGCAGACACAATCTTGATAACGTGAAAGAATTTATTTACATTTCATTAAGGTATCAAAGAAAAAAATAATACTGAACTCTGACTTTAGGCACAAGTCTGTCAGAAATAATTTTATATAATTCAATATTATTCTAAATCTAAGGACATCTAGCCAAAAGAGAAATGTCCAACTTGTATAACTCTTGCCTACCCCTCCCCCTTCCCACCAAGCCCTCAGGCATTTCTCTATCCCTGGTACTGCCTTCTGAACTTGTATTGGTCTGATCAGCCACAGATGAACACATTCTACCTTGACTACAACATTGTGATGTCACTGGTCTTCTTTAAAAGCAAAGGATGAACAACTACTGCACAGTGCCTGACACTAAGAAAGCCTTTATTAAATGATTATTGATTGACTAACTATCTGAAGGCAAATTGAGGCAACCTTTGTAGAACTCTTGAACAGAGAATAGATTAAAATAGTTTGGTGTTAACATTCCATAATAATAGTCACTACTAAATTCCTTTTGGTGACCATTCATAACTTAATCTAGTGATGTCCAGAAATAGTCAAAGAAAATTCCACTCTCTGATCAATATCTTGATTCTTAACAACTGGAAAAAGAGGATGCTGCCCTTGGGTGTGTATAGCCCAAACATTTCAAGGGATGGGAATGTTAACAAAAGAAAAAGGTACTCTTTATAATAAAATGTGGTTTACCCTTTAATCTATTTCTCTAAAACGGTCTTTTTTGTTCTTGACCTCCTACATATTATCAAACAGGGAAAAGTCTTGAGAGGGTTTTTAATTAGATAAATATTTATTTTTCAATTGAACTAAAAATGAGATTTTCTAATATGCTTCCACAGAGAGAAAGCTATCACAAGAAGGAAAAGAAGTGGCAAGGATAACATTATGATGCAAAGAGAATAGTCAAGAGGACATCAATAACAGGTAAGCTTTTGAAAACTTTTCTACAAAAGACCACCTCTTTACAGTCAAGCAGTTAACTCAGTCTAGCCTTGACACAGCTGTCAAAATAATCTTCCTAAAATACAGATCTGACCATGTCACTCAACCTTCGGTAGCTTCCTACCATCTCCAGGGTAAAACACAAATTTTTCACCTTGATATTGAAGGCCCTTTTCAAATTTGCTCCATTTGCTCTGTTCCTCCATTTGCTTTTCTTCCTACATGTTACCTTTGAGCCTCTGAGGTGCAATTCATGTTTATTTCCTAATGGAGATCTTTCGTGATGATCTTAGTATTGTGGCACTCTCAAAAATTATATTGCATTTCCTACGTTCTATTTAATTTATAAAATGCAAGCTCCTTGAGGACAACAGCTATTTCATTTGTCTCTAGATTCAAAGTATCTAACATAGTGTTTTGCACAAAATAGGCATTTAATGAACATTTTTTTTAATTTGGATTGTGTAAAAAACTACACGATGACACTGTAGTCATTGTTTGAAGACTTCAAACAATCTGTAATTGACTTAGTAGAGCAAAAATCATCTATTAAGGCTGTGACAAGGAGATTGTCAAACACATTAAGATCATAAAATATTCCTGGAGAAGTGTGATCACAGAAATAATTGTATTCAATGACCTGTGGATTATTAATGTGAAATGAGATATGAAATTGGGATATATACGCTTGATATAGATGCTTATAGCTATATCATAGAGGATGTCCCGAGCAAGGTCTAAATGAGAAAGGGATTATTTAAGATGGTAGAGACTTCCAGATGTCCCTATTTGAAGATAGTATTAGGCTGATTATATTATCAATAAGATTATAGCACTTATTAATGAGATCTATGGTTTCTGAAAAGAAGACATCTTAACAACAACAAAATTAAAAATAGCTAACATTTAGATAGCACTTTAAGGTTGCAAAGCACTTTGTAAATATTATCTCATTCTATACTCATAACAATCCTGGGAGGTAGGTTCTATCATTATCCCCACTTTAGACATGAAGAAACTAAGGTGAAGTCACAAGCTCAAGATCCCATAGGAGTAAGTGTTTGAGGCTGGATTTCGACTCATGGCTTCCCCACTTCAGGTGTAGCACTCTACTGTGAGTTATCTAGCTACCACTCATTTCATAAACGAAAGCTAAATGGATGAAAAATCCTTATTGTTAAGATGTTATACAGTTGCAAGATCAATTTATTGAGTTTGCATATCAGTATGTATGAGAATGTATGTATGTGTGTGCGTGTACACACACATACACACACACACAGACACACACACAGGACAGCTACTTCAGATGGACAATAAACTGGGCCCAGAATTAAATAAGCAGAACAAATTGAACTGCTTTAGGGAAATTTCCTAGTGCTTTTAATTATTCCAAGCAACTCTTCGGCACAAAAGTGCAGTTTTTCAGCACAAATGTCTTCCCATTGTTGTTATATGTTTTCTAATCTTGGAACACTACAGTTTCAGAAGAATAAAATCTATGTGTGACCCAGAGTTAAAAGGAGAAATGCATAATACCTTAGAGTGAAAAAAAATACCCTGACATCTATATAGCTACTTAAGCTTTGAAAATGCTTATATTATCTCATTTGAACCTCATAACAACCTTGTGAAGTAGGTACAATTGGTATTATCCCATTCTGTTTAAACAAGAAAACAGACACCGTGAGGTTAAGTCACCCACTTGTATTCACCTAGCTAATTTTTAATGTAAGAGAGAACTAAACTTCCTTACTTTAAAAATCCATCAATCTGTCCATCATACTCCTCAGGCAACCACATATTTCTAATGATCATCAATGCTAAAGAAGTGGCATAAGGTATGACTAGGTAATGAATTATCAAAAAGGAGGTAGGGCTGATCTTGAAGTGAGAGAAAGAGTAACAGATACTCAGAAAGAGTGGTATACATGAATCCATTTAAATTAGAGGGCATTCTCCAATATTTTAAGTATGGAAGTATGGAATTTTAACATTTTAAGTATAGAAGATGCAAAGGGCAACATGGACAAGGCTTCCTGAACATGGGATGATATGGGTGGTTTACTCTCTGTAACATTGGAGGAAATGTGCATATTTGTCAAATTATAGACCCATTGAGCTACTGCAGTAGTAATGGAAGATGTTTTGAAGTCCCCAGCAATGGAAACCACAGAGCCACATTAGAGTTTGAATTTCTTCTTATTGCCAAATTGATCCCCCTGAAATTTGTAACCATCTTCCCTTTTGGGTTAAGGACGTGTTTGCTAATTTTCAGCCTGGAGCACATTCTGTTTCAGAGTTGCAAATTACTTGGAGTTGAACTTTCAAAAGGATGTGGAGGATTTTTTAACCACAACAAGATTGAGGGAAATTAATATAGCAATTACTGGATGCAGTTGGAGGTTTCAGGGATGGAGGAGCTTCTCCTTTATTTATTATTATTCATTAATCACACAATGCATATTTACCATGAAGGTTTAATAAAATGGAATTATTGTTAGTCTTTGTGAGTAGGTTCCCTAAGTGTTAATGATCATGTTCAGTGCCCGATAACCTAAACTAGGGCATGGAAAAGGCAAGTGGAGGTGTTGCTCGGTGTGCTGACCCATAACTCCATCCTTCCAAAGCTATTTCTGAGGTATATGAGCATGGTGCCATCATGTATCTGGAAAAGTTCTAAGGAGCCTCTTCCATCTCAGATGTTTGTTCTGAGTCGTGAAACTAGGGCAGTGATTCTTAGAAAGGACTGGTGCTTCCAGATGACAATTAGCCATGTCACAGAAGGCCAGATTTCAATAACCTGCCCAAGAGATTTAGAATTTCTGAAACCTGCGTTCTAGTCCCTGTTTAAATATAACCCTGGATCTTCCTTTCCTTTTTTGTAAAAAAGAGAGAATCGCACAAGGTGAGAGCTAAAGTCCCTTCCAGTTTTAAAAGCCTGAGAGTAATATGTGGTCCCCAAATGACTCCACTTTAAGTTATTTAAGGGAGTTGAATTGAGTGATCCTTCCTGTGTGACCTTAGCCAAGTCACTCCCCCTGCCTTGGGTCCATTTACTCCCCTTGAAAAATGAATGATCTGTAATAGGTTCCCTTTAAGGTCGTTTTACAACTCTAGCATTCTGTTGGCATACATTGAGGCTGTAAATAGTGTCAATTGTTAATCAACAGGCCCTTTTGAAGTTATTACTATGCATCAAAGGCTGCCAAGTTCTGAGGATTCAAAGAAAGGAAAAAGCAGTTTTTGTCCTTATGGAAGGAACAGTCCAGTAGGCGAGGCGGTTTGCTACAAACTTTTTCATCCCTCTCCTGGAAGACATTTATGTCTTTACCCTTTGGCAGGAGTCCTTAACTACTTTTGTGTCATGGAACCTACTGGCAGTTTGGTGAATCTTATGCACCACTTCTTAGATTGTTTTTAAATGTGGGTAAAATAAAGTATATAAAATTACCAATTACATTGAAATAATCATCAAAATTTTAAAAACAAACAAACAAAAAAAGAGTTCATGGACCTCAGGTTAAGAACTCCTCTGCTTTAGGGGTTATCATTTTACCCTTTCTTCCACATACTCAGTCTTCATGGATGCTAGGTGTGAAAAAAGACATCAGAAGAAACCAGTTGGCACAGTGGATATTGTTGAAGTTGGAGTCAGGAAGACCTGAGTTCAAATCTGACCTAAGATTTTTACTAACTGTGTGACCTTGGGCAAGGCACTTATCTTCCTGCTATCTCAATTTCCCCTTTTGTAAAATGGGGATAACAGCACCTACCTCCTAGGGTTTTTATAAAAAATAAAATGAGATTATATTTGTAAATTGCTTTGTAAAACATAATGTATTTTAAATGCTATTAATATTATTTTAATAACACTAACATCATATAATGTATTAACATATACTAAAGAGAATTAATATTATTATTAAAGATAATAATACAAGCTACTGACCTTTACAACTAGTTATCAGGAATAATTGATTAAAATATGAAGCTGTCAGATGGCATCTCCCTCGATGGAAGTATACTCATAGTGTTAGAATGGAGTCTCCTAGGATCTCTGCCTTCTCACCTGGGTGATCTGTTTCCTTTTTCTTCTGGGAGCACCTTTCATATTGCTTACCTTAGGTGTAATTTGTAGAGCAGTTCTTGTGTGTCACCCTGGCCCACATTAAAAAAAATCCTGGTTATAGCTCTGCCCATCAATGGCCACTAACACCCTTGAAGATTATTATTAACCACTGAGTTACAGCTTAGTCTAAAACCTGATTATTTATAGTCATAAAATAATTCACTCCTACCACACAAATCTACTGAAATAATTTTCATTTCTATGCAAGTAAAACAGAGATTAAGCCCATAATTTAAATACAAATAGTGTAGGAAATACTTGTCTTCTCTTCTTTGAGGGCAATTTATAGAGCTTATTAAACATATCCAACCTCAAGAAATTCTACCAGGAGCCTTATGTTTTAATTCAAGATCTACTCCTTTTGTGACCTTGGGCAAGTCAATTAGTTTCTTTGGATTTTTGTTTTCCCATCTGCAAAAGTAGAAGCCTTTCTTAGATAGCATCTGAACTCACATACAGGTCTAAACCTCCATGATTCAGTAACTCTAATTCCCAAAGGGGCAAGTGGACTTTGAGTGGTTTAGAACAGGAAACCTAAACCCTTTTCTGCTATTTCCTAGCAATGTGAGTTTGAATAAGTCATTTTACATCTCTGGGCCTCTGTTTCCTCATGTATAAAATAAAGAAGTTTTATTAGATGACCTTAATGACCCTTGTAGAAACTTTTTTTTTGATTACTTCATTCCAAGACTGATATATACACACACACACAGAGACACACACACACATCACCATTTTTTGAACATGAGAAAAAAAAAGCAAAATTAGTAACAAGGATTCATTGTGCTAAATGTTCACTTTCTATACACTGTAAGTCAGTAAAAAATATAAAAAAAACCCATCCTTTATC